TGTTAGACTATATCAACCCCCACCCTGTCAATGTCAAATATGATGGTATTTTGACCACCCAGTCATGACTATTCAAACTGCCTTGCACAATCACATATATATGCTAATTGGTGGTGGCTCCCATAATGTGTTTATAGGGGCTCCCCTACCTACAAGTTTTAGTCAGAGGTAGCTGTTCTCATATACAAACTTGGCCTCACTCTAAGAGAGGCCAGAGAGAGGAAGCATGCCAATGAGGTTTTTTAATCACTTCCTACTCCAATTCCATCCTTCACTCCACTCCTATCCCCTCTACCCAAGTAGTCTCTACATCTTCCTCAGCACTACTACCCCCTACTCCTCAACTTCACACCTTTACTTCCCTATCTCCCAGTTAAATCCTTTTTACATTCTAAATCCAAATACTCCAATTTCCTCAATTTTTGTGTCATTCCATCCTACTGTCACACCAGACAATCCATATATTCCACCCCATCTTCTCTTACCAGATCCCTTCCCACACCTACATCCTCTGCTCTTCAGATACCTATCTTCCCTTCACCTCCTCATAAAAAAATCATTCATTTCACAAATCTCCCCACCAAAATCCCCTCCAGAAACCCTTGAGGACATTAGACACTTCCTAAGCATAACCCAAGACAAAGTTCCTTTCAACCATCTTCCATCTTCTCACATTTCCCCTCTCCCTCCCAGCATTCCCTATTCTATCCTGCAGCTTTGTCACAATGTCCTTCCCAGGATCCCACCTCCCCTGATGAACTTCCTGATACTACACCTTCACCTCCTTCCCTGATGAACCACCTGATATTACACCTTCACCTCCTTCCTCTGATCCCCTATCCTCCTCCTACTTCTCAAACTCTTATCACCTGTTGGCTGATCCACAATCACTCTTATACAGTGAAACATTGAGGTTTTCGTTCTCACAAACCCAATCTTGGTCATCCTACAACCATCCATTATGTCTCCAAGAAACCTTTCTTCACCATTGTGTCACATTTGTTTCAATTTATTTTTCTCCTTCTACTTTACTTTCTCAACTTTATACACCATCCTCACAGTTGGTGATTACAACTGTCACCACTACTTCCAGAGGCCATTCCCTGGAATACTTTCTTTCTATCACTGACATCCTTCTTAATTCAGACCACTCACTTTGACATGTGCACCCAAACCTTTTCATGCCTTGACCTTTCTCTTTGCTCTCCTTCCCTTCATCTAGATTTTCATTGGTCATTCTGGACCACCTTCCCTAAAGTGATCACTTTCTTAATTCTCTTCTCTTCTACTTCCTATGCCTCATTTCCCAACCTCCCACGCTAGTGCTGTGATAGAGCAGACTGTTGTACTTTTACCTCTCTCTACTCTCCCTCTTCCTCATCAGACATACTTTCTTATTTCACAGTCACTGTCCTGAGTGAAGCCTTCACAGCCATTCCCCAAACTTCTCAATCATACGTCTAAATGTGTTCCATAACTAGAACACTGACTGCTCTAAAGCACTTTGATTGAAGAGTGGTATGGAGTAGTCATCGTTACACGCGAAATACCCCCAGCCAAACATCATGCCTTATCAGTTTTAAAAGAACATCAATTCAACTGTGACACACAATCCGAACCTCTACTAACCCCTTCCCAACGGGTCACGCCATGAGGCGTCAAAACAAACCGCTTGATCAGTGGCGTGCGGATGTACGCTGTGGTGGCGCTGCAAAGCGCTATGAGCCAGTGATTTGCCTTGATGTACTGAACTCCCACGCTCAAAGTCAGTGTGTTGCCATTGATTTCCAGAGCATAGAGTTTTTTAGTTTTCTTCTTTTCTTCTTTTCTTCTTGTCTCTTCCACATCATCTTTCCTCAGTTCGAAAGTGTCCCACAAGGCAGTGTGCTCAGCACCACCTTATTCTTTCTTGCTCTTAATGGCATTGTTTCAGTTCTACTGCCAGGGGCCCAGTCATCCCTATATGAGATTGATTTAACTGGCCTGTGAATACCTGCTCTCCTCCAACTCCTCCAGTCAGTGATATAATTAGTATCTTCCTGGGCCTCTAATCCTGGCTTTCCCTTTTCTACCTCCAAATCCTTCTCCATTCTTTTCTATTGTGTATTTGTAGGTCCCCAACCCCACTCTTCTTAAATCATGCTCTACTACAAATTCCTAGGCATTATGACTCCCAACTGTCCTGGCAAGACCATATCTCTATAAAAGGAAAGGCTTGCCACCACTTTCAAATCTTACAGACTCCCTCCCCTACATCTTGGTGTTCAGAACGCAAAACTATCCTCCATCTTCATGTTATCCTGATCCTCTCCACTCTTGATTATGGATGCCATAATTACTCTTCTACCTCCGCTTTCCGTGCCCTTCTCTCCCTCCAGTGTTATAATCACTTCCACCAGTATTCCCTCTATAAACTAATTATCCTTCGATCTCTGCTTCCTAATTTTTCTGATTATCCATGTTTACCTACTTTCTCAATTAGCATGGATACTCTCCTCTCCCACCCCACCCTTTCCTCACAGAGACGGAGGTAGTGACAGATCATTTAGTTGTGAAGGAATTCAATTAGGTATGATCAGTGCAGCAATTGGGTGGTGAAGAGCTCTTCAGGAACAGTTGAAAGTTTGCCGAGAGTGATGCTGTGTGCAGTATGTTGTAGAAATATGATGCCAGCAAATGAGAAGTCCTGAGTATGGAAAAGGTAGGGGATTGCAATTTTTGGTGTACAAGAGAGATGGAACACAAGCCACTAAAGCAGTAGTGCAAGTTTAGTGATACTAATAGTAAATTCTATGTAAAAAAAAAACTGCTGAAGTGCAAAGGAGAATTGTAAAAAGCACACATCTGAGAAATGGTCACTGAATGAGGCTGGCAAAAAGTTTGACACAGCCAAAATGAGAATGTTAAAGTTGATGGTAAGAGCTACATTGTTAGACAGAAAAAGAAATGGGAAAGTGAGTAATACCAGATGTACCTATGATCAGAAGCAGTAGGCTGAGATGCTATGGACATAAAAAGGTGGGGAGGTGAAGGAGGAGAGGAGAGCAAGAGAAAGTAGCAGACCAAAAAAGGCACTGGAGGGAAGTGTGCTAGAAACCATGGATAATGTAAAGAAGAAAAGAAACCAGTACTGGTATTTTACCTGAATTCAATAACAAAAAATTATTTTATCATACATGATGTAAGAAGACAAATTTTGTTTAAGGAACACTTTAATTTTCTGTTCTATACAAAAGGACAATCATCAATCATCACATCTTGGAGGCCAATCCAAAGCAACATTCTGAAAAAGAAAATCAATTTTAAAAACTTTCTACTACTACAGCTACAATACAACTTTACATTTATATTTCCAATGAATGATGCTAAAAACAAGAAATTAATTGAACAAACATGACAACAGATGTAAAGCATGTGGTAAATGATATATAAGAGTAAAGTCATATCATAATGTAGATAAAACTTGTATAGAACCAATGAAAGTACCAAAATCCCAAGGAACATATGGTTTTGGAGTTACTCCAATGAAGCAGTTATATTTTTCATTTACATATAAAGTCAGTTATATTTGTATCTTTAAAGATACTGTAAGCTTGCATATCATATTAATATATATTTCTAAATATCTGAAGTCCTTAATAGAATGTAAAGGTATTGAAAAAAAACCAATAAGATAAAATGTTAACTCTTAAACAGATGTAGATTCCTGGGAATGGGATGGAGCTATGGTTCTGGGAACAATTCATTATATTAGGTGTCAAAGAGAATCCTTCAACAGGTTTTCCCTGACTATAGATCCCTTGAGTTATCAGAAATAATGGCTATAGTGTGCTACATAAACAAAAGTATGTACATATTTCCAAAACCTTACTTCAGGTAGCCACTGATTAGCCAGCTAATTTTAGGTCAAAATCATGAAAAATAAATAAACCAAGATCACGGAACTCGCAATGTCCCAAACACAAACCTATATCTAATGGAAAAATATTTATAACAGAGGCATCTACAGTCTTTGTGACTCTTTGCAAAGGCCTGTGCAGGGATATCAAGTCACTCCAAGAGTCTACTTTCTACCTCCCTCCCTTTTCCCCTCATTTAATCACATATCATGACACACTTTTCCTAAAAAAAAATAAGCTAAACTTGCCTAAATATGATAGCACTACTTCTTATGCGATATATTAAATTATACTGTACAATCTATCAATATATCTATATCTATATCTATATCTATATCTATATATCTATCTATATCTATATCTATATCTATATCTATATCTATATATATATATAGTCCCTAACTTACAAATATATTGGGGACCGAGAGGCTTTTCGTATATCCAAAGTCGGGTCTCCATTGCCTTTTTTCCCATTGTTTTAAAGTTTTGTTTACATTAAGAATACCTGTACATAAATCCTAATAAGTATTTTTGATGGATTGATGCACAGGTAAAGCGAATTATGGCAAAAAAATTGGCAGTACACGAGGACACAGTGAACAGATGCTTTTGTGTTTATGGCGGGAGGGCAGGCGAGTGATGCGCACAGCTGAGTGAGCGCGGCAGACTCGTGAACTATATTCACGCCCGGGAAATTTGAAGTTTGCTAGCATCTTTCAAACAATTTTTTTGACTTAAGTATTTTTTTTTATTTGTTTGTATGTATGGAATGTTCGTAAGTAGAATGTTCGTAAGTAGGGGACTTACTGTATATATATATGTATAAATATATATATATATATATATATATATATATATATATATATATATATATATATATATATATATATATATATATATATATATATATATATATGAAGCAATACTCAGAATTAAAACAAATCTTGCAAATTATCTCAACAGTTATAAAAACAAATTTCAGCAATAATGCTTACCTCCACATCTAGGGCAATTATATCCACTTCCAGGCCTAATAATGATCCTAAATTGGGTGTTGTGCGTCCTAAATCTCCATGTACAAATTCTTTTATGTATGTTCCAGCTTGAGTAGTAAGATGAAGCTGTTGGGAAAGTAAACATCTTCAAATAAAGGTTACTCCCTATAATCAAATCGTAAAGTATCTTAAAAAATGTAAAATGAGTAATTATATAGGAAAGACATACACACAAAAAGATGGCCCTGTTATTAGTGAATAATTTCAACTTAAATTTCAATGATTATGACATAATGTACAATATGTCAAATTATAACTGTAATAGCCTTTACCTTGAAGAAATAATCATCAACACGTGATGCAAGCATTTTGTGAATGATCTTCTGCCTTGTTGCTAAACATCGTCTATGGAGAACGCGAATTGGAGTCTTCTGATGGAGAGTCAATTCCGTCATTCCAGACAATCTGTCAAGAACCTTGGGGTCGTAGCCATCTCTTGCTAAACAGAGTGCACAGTAAGCCTTTGTTTTCTCTTCTTCACCCTCTTTCAAAACTTTCACATCCTTTCTGTGGAGAGTGAATTAATGTTTAACTTTAATTTCAACAAAAAGAAAGATGAGAAAGAGAGAAAAAGAGAAAGAGAATGAGAAAGAGAAAGAAAAAGAAAAAAAGAGGAAGAGAGAGTGTTCTAACATTAATATGGACCTGAGACATGCAAGATACATATATAGAGAAAGACATACAAGATTTAGAGAGAGAAAAATCAGAAAAAGCATTCTAACATATATATATACATACCTGTCAACAACCTGCAGGTCTCTAAGGGCCACCAACTTGGTGCTACTATTAATAGCTGCTTGAAGTTCCTTCATTTCAGACCTAGTGAACTTTGTGCGACATGGGTTGAGGAACTCCACCACAAAGGGTCGCCCAGTCCCTAGACAACGCACATCCACATCTTCACGCCCAGATGAAGAGAACTTCACATCTGATCAAATATGACATTACATGTTCAATCATTAATCATGTATATATATACACACACACACACACACATATAATAAATAAATGATCTGGTTAATGATAATGCATAAATTCAGTATTTATCAAGTCAGGTATAACTTTGAAGTGCTAATTTTTACAAACCATACTATCATACCATCTGCCTTCACAGCTCCAATCAAAGATTCACATATGAGCTCCTGTACACTTGTTTCCATCTTGCGTTCTCCTTCAACTAACCAGGGAGTCTGTGGTAACTCTCGGCTGTATTTATTGTACCTTCCTGTCATAAAAATAAGATGAAAGGTATCATACAATATACTCTATTTATTCATGAATATTGTGAGAAGCAGCAATCCACTGAAAATAATGAAATCATTACACAGATTTCATAATAACAGTGGAATCAAATCCTTCCATCACCGCATACTGTAAAATAGCCATTTATCTAACCTGCCATAAATATAGAAGTCTGTTGGCACTGAAGAGACTGGAAGACAATTGCCTCATCAGGAACACATGGAGGCTCTGGACATGCTTTCAAAAATTCCTCATCACTAACTTTCTTAATAGCCGTGTCTATGGCCTGTTTTGTAAAGACTGTATTGGAGTACTTCCTATGTTGCTGACGACGTACTGTGAACATTGCTGTGCACAGTTTTTCCCTGGTGATGCAAATCAGTTGAGTATATAACTAGTTAAAAATCAATGAAGGCAAAAAAATCCTCATCATAAGAGAATGAGAAAGAGAGAAAAAGAGAAAGAGAATGAGAAAGAGAGAAAAAGAGAAAGAGAATGAGAAAGAGAGAAAAAGAGAAAGAGAATGAGAAAGAGAGAAAAAGAGAAAGAGAATGAGAAAGAGAGAAAAAGAGAAAGAGAATGAGAAAGAGAGAAAAAGAGAAAGAGAATGAGAAAGAGAGAAAAAGAGAAAGAGAATGAGAAAGAGAGAAAAAGAGAAAGAGAATGAGAAAGAGAGAAAAAGAGAAAGAGAATGAGAAAGAGAGAAAAAGAGAAAGAGAATGAGAAAGAGAGAAAAAGAGAAAGAGAATGAGAAAGAGAGAAAAAGAGAAAGAGAATGAGAAAGAGAGAAAAAGAGAAAGAGAATGAGAAAGAGAGAAAAAGAGAAAGAGAATGAGAAAGAGAGAAAAAGAGAAAGAGAATGAGAAAGAGAGAAAAAGAGAAAGAGAATGAGAAAGAGAGAAAAAGAGAAAGAGAATGAGAAAGAGAGAAAAAGAGAAAGAGAAGAGAAAGAGAAAAAGAAAAAGAAAAAAGAGGAAGAGAGAGTGTTCTAACATTAATATGGACCTGAGACATGCAAGATACATATATAGAGAAAGACATACAAGATTTAGAGAGAGAAAAATCAGAAAAAGCATTCTAACATATATATAACATACCTGTCAACAACCTGCAGGTCTCTAAGGGCCACCAACTTGGTGCTACTATTAATAGCTGCTTGAAGTTCCTTCATTTCAGACCTAGTGAACTTTGTGCGACATGGGTTGAGGAACTCCACCACAAAGGGTCGCCCAGTCCCTAGACAACGCACATCCACATCTTCACGCCCAGATGAAGAAAACTTCACATCTGATCAAATATGACAT